GGAGCTGGGCTGCAGGCCAGCCTGCCTTTCCTCTTCAAGGTCCCCAGCACATAAATGATTATAATATAAAATAACCAGCGCTCGACGCTGTTTATCGCAAAGGACACTTTTTTCCCTGTTATCCTTACAACCCCTAGGGAATGCAGATTAAAATACCAATCCCAGATGGGAACCTGATGGCCACAGAGTCCTCTGTGGAGCCTGGTTTAGTGCAGGCGCACCCTTCTCCGAGGCAGCCACCTGGACCCCGCGCCCCGCGGGAGCTCGGCTGCGCCTGGAGCTGTCCGCCACCCGGGGGCGAGCTGCGCCTGGGTTTGGGGACAGCCTCGGGTCCTAGGGCGGTCCGCTGCCATTCTGAGGGCAGAGACCAGGGCTTTTTTTCCTTTGCTGATTCCTTGCGTTTATGAGAATGGAATTCTGCGCTCTTGGGGGCTGGGCGACGTGGGTAAAGATCCCCAAGTCTAGAATCGGAAAGGCTGGAGTCCAGGGCTAGTGCGCCTCTGGCTTGCAAGGTGGCCTTAGGCGAGTTCGTTGCTCCTTCTGGGCTCAGTTTTAACTGTAACACAGAGGCAATCAGCCCTAGCTGATTTTGCTCAATGGATAGAGCCTCGGCCTGCAGACAGAAGGGTCCCAGGTTCGATTCTGGTCAAGGGCCTGTGCCTTGGTTGCGGGCACATCCCCGGTAGGGGGCGTGCAGGAGGCAGCTGATGGATGTTTCTCTCTCATCGATGTTTCTAACTATCCCTCTCCCTTCCCCTCTGTAAAAAAAATCAATAACATATGTTAAAAAAATAAAACAATCAGCACAATCAGTTGTATAGGATTGTTGTGAGGAGTAACCGGCAGTACAGGTGAAGCAGTTACTGGCACGTGGTATGCACTGGACACATGGTAGCAATTATAAGCTCTGTGGGAATTCCCTTTATCGCCCATTTTCAAACCTTTTCCCTTCTTTTTTATTGACAAACCTTTTGTGTTGAAGTAATGATAGACTCACAAGAAGTTGCAAAAACAGTGCAGAGATCCCAAATACCCTTCCCCCAGCTGCTTCTTACATAACTATAATACAGTGGCAACGGGGGAAATCTACATTGACACAATGTATTAATTAGACTATAAACCTTACTCGGATTTTACCAGTTTTTACTTGCATTCCTGTGCGTATAGTTCTGTAAAATGTTGTCATATGTACACATCAAGATACACAACTGTTTTTTCATCTCAAGGAATTAGTGCAGTGGTTCTCAACCTTCCTAATGCCGCGGCCCTTTAATACAGTTCCTCATGTTGTGGTGACCCCCAACCATAAAATTATTTTCGTTGCTACTTCATAACTGTAATTTTGCTACTATTATGAATCATAATGTAAATATCTGATACACAGGATGTATTTTCATTGTTACAAATTGAACATAATTAAAGCATAGTGATTAATCACAAAAACAATATGTAATTCTATATGTGTTTTCCGATGGTCTTAGGCGTCCTCTTTGACAGGGTCGTTCGACCCCCAAAGGGGTCGCGCGAACCACAGGTTGAGAACTGCTGAATTAATGGTTGCAAAAGGGTTGGGGGTGAGGAAAGGAATGATGATTTAAAGGGGTAGCGCAACTAAAGGGGCTTCCTTGGCAACCATTAATTTGTTCTCCATATCGTTGATATTGTTCTTTTCAGGATGTTGATAATTAAGATAATATAGGTTAAACGAAATGCCAAGGTCATTCAGCTAGTTAGTGTCTAGTTGTCACTGGGATCCAGGTTTTCCCACTGCACTGTCTCCCTTTAAACCGATAGGAAGGAGCCCTAGAAGGGGCCGCCACTGTGAGTGTCCTTTACAAAGAGAATGAACAGATGGACTGTGGTGGCAGCGGTTGATAATCATGGATTAGCAGCAGCGGCAAACTATGGCCCACGGGCCGGATTCAGCCCGTTTGAAATGAATAAAACTAAAAAAAAAGAGACCTTACCCTTTTATGTAATGACTAGGGGCCCAGCCTGCCCCTCTCACATACTGGGAGCCCTCAGACGTTGACCCCCATCACCCTCCAATCGCAGGATCGGCCCCTTGCCTAGGACTGATGCCTCTGACAGAGGTGTCAGGCCTGGGCAGGGAACCCTCATTTCCCCCCATCACGGGTTCTGCCCCCAGCCCCCTCTGATTGCTGGCTCCGCCCCCCGCCCAGGCCTGATGCCTTGGCCAGAGGAGTTGACCCTCATCACCCTCCGATCGCGGATCACCGGATCGGCCCCTTGCCCAAGCCTGAGGCCTCCGGCAGAGGTGTCAGGCCTGGGCAGGGGACCCCAAGCTCCCCGCAGTGGCAGGCTCTGCCCCTGCCCAGGCCTAACGCCTCTGGCCGAGGCTTCTGGCGCAGGCAGCAAGGACCCTCAGCAGCAACGGTGCCGTGATCGCGAGGGCTCCACCCCTGCCCCCGCAGGACGCCTCTGGCTGAGGCGTCCGGCCCAGGCAGCGGGGACCCACAGCTGCAGTGGCCCCATGATCTTGGGCTCTGCTTTAGGCCCAAGCAAGGGACCCCTAGCTCCCGGGACTGCCAGCTTCAACCGTGCCCAGCTCCCATTGCTGGCTCCACCCCTACTTCCTGTTATCACTGGCCAGGGTGGCAAAGGTGCCCGATCCTCCAATCATGGCTTCCCTGCATTGTGCCTAATATGCAAATTAACCGCCATCTCTGTTGTCAGTTAACTGCCATCTGAGTTGGCAGTTAATTTGCATATAGCCCTGATTAGCCAATGAAAAGGGAAGCGGTCGTACGCCAATTACCATGTTTCTCTTTTATTAGTGTAGATGTTTACTTTGAATTTATATTAGTTCACACAAACACTTCATCCATGCTTTTGTTCCGGCCCTCTGGTCCAGTTTAAGAACCCATTGTGGCCCTCGAGTCAAAAAGTTTGCCCACCCCTTGATTAGAGTTACACATAGTGACATGAATAGGTCTTTATAAAATTGGGCTGGTAAACAAATAGTACCATTTATGTAAATTAAGAATACATGCACATGAAAGGATAACACAGGCATTATAAGAATGTGTACAAACAAAAGGGTGCATTACAAATCTGTTAGAGTGATTCTACTTATGCAGCGGGGAGCGATGAGAGTGGGATATGGGGATTACATAGAATAAGGAAGACAGGAGAGGGACCGTATACAGACCAGTGACAACAGGCCATGAACTTAGGAGTGTGATTAACTCAGCCTTCTCCCACCGGATCTTTGTGGTTCCATATACTGAGCATGTTCTCTTTCAGGTGTAAAGAGAATTTGCCTTCCCAGTTTTCCACGAAACATGAGAATAGGCAGTTACATCCCACCTTCATGAACACCCAACGGTGGGTATTTGTGAAAAAGGGACTGGATGACTTCAGGTATGGCTGCCCTTCTTGTGAGAATATGATCACTCGGGGCCTTCCGGAGCATCCTGCCCCCCAGAGGTATAGCAGAGGTCCCCGACCTCCCCCCACAAAGAGGCCGAGCTACCTGCCCATGGGCGCAGCCCTGTGTTCCAGGCTTTCCGCAGCCCAGCAGGCCCGGAAGTCATTCCTGGAGGAAATCGAAGCCCAGCTGACCCGGCATCCCCTGGCTCGCTACCCGGACCTGGAGGAAAGCATGCCTCTGGAGGTGATCACCTGTCCTCGGGTGTGGGAGGGTCTTCACGGAGGTGGGGGAGGGGGGCGCTAGAAAGAATTCTCCTTAGACAGCTGGGGCTTTTTTCCTTGGGGGTGACAGCTTGTAAGGAGGAGAGGACGAGGAGTGTCTCCCAGGGTGAGTTTTCATGGGGCTTGGAGCAGCCTCCCTTCAGCAGCATTTCCCTTTGCTTCCAGTGAGGCTGCCAACTTACCACAGTCTAACCGCTGGGACCGTGAGACTTTTCCCTGGAAGGTTCTACCAGTCTACTTTGCCTGGGACTTTTTTGGGGAGGAATGTGATGGGGGTGGTGGGATCGTTCAGTCTTACTCCTGTCACTTAAACCTGCTCTTGGGAGGTGTCCGTAAGTATTTACTAACTGATAGGTATAAGGCATATGAGAACCAGAAAGGTCACAGGGAAAATTCACCAAATTGTCAGTCTAGGGGGTGGGCGGCAGTGGCATAATCCTCAGCATGTGTCTCTAGTTTTTGTGTGTTTTTTTAAAAAAAATCTTCATTGGTTTTCATTGGATGTTGCAGATTGGCATCTTAATGTAGAAAGTCCTAAACTACCATATTAGCATTTTTTTTAAAGTGTATCTTTATTGTTGAGAATATTACAGTTGCCCCTTTGTTTATTTGTGATTTTCTCCCCCCATTGACCTCGTCTACCCTGCACCCACCCCTCCAGGCCTTCACCACTCTATTGTCTCTAGTTCTTGTATCTCCAAAGGCTTCCACACCACCAGGCATGCGGGCTTTCAAACAGGAAGGGGTAAGGGGCAAAGGTTAAAGGGTACATGCCAGCTGACTGTTTTTCATTAGACAAATACAGTTGGCCCTTGAACAGGATCGAACTGCCCAGGTCCACTTACACGGGGATTTTTTGATGAATACAGTTGGCCCTTCCTAGCGATGGGTTCGCTTGTGCAGATTCAACCAACTGCATATAGAAAACAGTATATTCACATTCCCAACCATGGACCTAAAATACTGGTTTTGATTTGCGGTTGATTGAATCCATGGATGCTATGGGCTGACTACAGAGTCAGACGTTCTATGTGGATTTTCGACAGTGCAGGGGTTGGCACCCCGTATCCCTGTGTTGTTCAGAGGTCAACGGTGAGAGCTTTTCAGTAAACAGCTCATTCACCCAGATGCTCAGGAGTCCAGGAAATTGAGTCTCATGGTTGGCATGGCAGTGTTGAACACAATACGAACAAGTGTTTTAGATTTAAAGCAAAAGAGCAGAATGGATATTGGGCAGGGAACTAGCAGTGCTTGCTCCCACCCTGCAGTCTGTTCCTACACAGCGAGCACGGCAGTTGTTCAGAAAGCCCCCTAGCGGCCCCTTCTCAGTCAGAGGGAGGTCCTTGGCGGTGTCCCAAAGGCCCTGTGTGTTCTGCTCCCTGCCTACCTCTCTGCTGCTCCCCCGCCAATCTGGCCGCCTCCCGCTCTGCTCTCACCAGTGCAGCCACTCCGGCCCCTGCCTGCTCTGTCTGTGAACATTACAAACATTTCCAATTCAGATCCCTGTTCCTGTGTCCGGGACACTTGCCTCGCATGTCTGCCTAGCTCAGTGGTCGGCAAACTCATTAGTCAACAGAGCCAAATATCAACAGTACAACGACTGAAATTTCTTTTGAGAGCCAAATTTTTAAAACTTAAACTATATAGGTAGGTACATTGTTATTAACTTAATTAGGGTACTCCTAAGCTGGCCTTTGCTAAAAATGTCCTCAATCTGAGGGGCCAACCTCAGCGAATGTATCCCTACTTCTTCTAAACCCACTTCTTCAAAATAGACTCGCCCAGGCCAAAAACCGACTTCTGTGCACGGGCCGTGAAGTTTTAATCACACTGTACGTGTGCACCTAGATGTGGTATTTTGTGGAAGAGCCACACTCAAGGGGCCAAAGAGCCACAGTTTGCA